GTCCTGTTAGTCACTGAAGACAACTGTAGCGAAAATGAGGAGGAATTCTGAAACTATTTATTATTAATTTTAATATTAATAATTCATGATCATTATTGGTGTTAGTGCTATAATGAGTATTATTAGATTAAAACTTTTTGAGTTGAAATTTTTGAGTTTTTTTTTTTCAATTCAAAATATCCAATTTTTCTTACTTTAAATGAAAAATATTTTGCGATCAATGCAGTGTTGCAATAGCCTAGTTTCGCTGCCCAGACCATCCACCGTCAGTCATTGGGATGGATGCCATCCATCCCAATGACTGTAGGCGGAGGGTCTACTAGCAGTAGCCATTATCTATAATCAAGCAAACATAGTTACAGTAGACAGAGTTCCACCTATTGCTCAGTTTACATCTGCAGCCCCATACATATTGCATGAATCTGAAAACTATAAATCAATTTGCTTGAGTGGCCTTAGTGTAGCTTTCAAGTGCTTTACATAAAAATTAGTGCAGAGTTCCTATTAATTAATTAATGTTATGCTGCATGATGACTGTCGAAATTGATTTTACTGCTATACAGTAATTTGCATTATTGTGCAGTAGTTGTTATTATGTCAAGCCATTAATTGTAGACTGTTTGCTTGCATCATGAAATAAATAGATCTTACATTCCTGAATTTATAGCTTATGCCTTAATTTATGTGAATTTATGTTACCACTGAGATAATGTACTACTAATTAATATATACATTTGGTTGCCATGCAAAAGTGTGATTAGCCAACTAGGGTATTGTACTATTGGTATAAGTATAACTTATATATAAGTTTTATAATGGTGTAAGTTGTCATTAAATTTATTACTATAATGAATTAGATTTTAGGTAAGACTTGTACCAGTTCCAGACTAAACTGGCAGTAATGGACCAATGATAATTACAGTGGAACTACATTTGGCTTTAAAGTTTAAATTTGAGGAATTGTAGTGTGCATCCAACATATATCCCCAATGAAACTGAAAAACCACAACCACTATAATCCACTACAGGTCTACTTCAAGGAATTCTTATGAGTAGTTTTATAGAGTATAATTATTTTCATGAAATCTTGCTCAACAGCATCTGCCAAATACTACAGACTACAAGCCAAATAATTGTCTTTTAAATTATAGCAATCTTTAATACAAATGCAGCAAGCATGATGCGTACATAGTAATGAAAAGAGACTGCAGATAGAAGGGAGAGACAAGAGACTGTGACAGGGGAGATACAACAGAGAGTAGGAAAGTGACGGAAAGAGAACACATTTATACATAGCTATATACACCTACAATATTCAGAGACTGCAAAAGGAGGATTATGATTACAGTTACCACATGATGACCACAATAGCCTCCAAAATATTTCATTTCCAATGGCAGCAGCGGAGGATTACCAGTGATGGGTTTCTCAGTGCACCACTGCACCTACCAGTCACCATGTGGTATACACCGCCTCCATGACAGAACCCATTGATTTCTTCTTTTCATTATTGTGTACTACAGGGAGATCTACAGGTAGTCTCCTCAGTACCGGCGTACAGTGGAGTGTCCATCTCTCTTCACTGGTTGACAAGAGGAAGCAGTATAACTGAATCCTGGCAATGCTGCCGGGCGGGTATAATGAGAAACATAATTATTATTAACGAAGAATTTTATTGGTGTGGCCTTACGGACCCTCTATTTTCAGTCTTCTCTGCCTCTCATTGTCTTTTGTTCTTTTTAGTCTTGTGTAGGGTCTATGGTCAGTTGTATTATCCTTATTAAATTTACCAATATAATTGAGTTAGCCCAATCTTACATGTCTTTTACTACTTCACAAGGTCAGTTTTACTTTGTTATGAATTTTGTCATCATTTTACAATGTATATTCATATACTTTTCATAGGTCATAGTAATGTTAGATCTTTATTTTTGGTACTAATAAGTGTAATTGTTGGAGTAGCATTCATATTTTATAGAATAACAAATGACACTCGTACATTTGTGATAACAAATTCAAGCTATAGATCACCATTTTTATACAGTGCCACAAAGCAAAATTTAATTTGTAGGAAGCCAAAGCATTATCCAACTCCAATAGCATTTTTCAGTAACCTGCAACCTACACTAAACCCATCCTGTGATAAATTATTCAGTGGACAACATTTAGAGAGACAACGTGTCAGAAATGCAATGGAACAACTTGAGGTACCATTTGATGCTGAAGTAATTCAGACATATATGGACTGTAGCTTTGTACAAGATGACTTTGACAACAACTTTTACATTTCTCCAGATGAAACTGACTTCCCCATTGCATACGAGATGTTAATATATTATCAGAAAAATCGTTTCCTACAAGCACTCAATCTATTGAAATTCATTTATAGACCTCATAACATTTACTGTATACATATTGACAAGGGCTCTCCTCAATGGTGGATAAACAGCATTAAAGGTTTTACGAGCTGTCTTCCTAATGTTTTTGTGGCTAAAGAACTTGTCAAGATATACTATGGAAGTGTTAGTATTCTGGATGCACATTTGAGTTGTCTTAGGGAACTACTGACAGTAACTACACAATGGAAATAT